ATATTCGTACAAGTACCTTCAGCTGCCTATTCACATAAACAATCAACCAAGAAGTCTCTATGGGGTGTTACGCTTTGTTAAAATGTTTTTGAGAGTTCGAAGTTTTAGAGAAGTAGGCGATATTTTCAGATAAACATGGGTGAAAAAAACACATTTTACATGTTTACCAAGTTCATTTACGTTTGTGCGACATTACATGAAAAAAGGCCTACAAAAAAATGTGTTATTTCTTAGTTCTGTAAAAATTTTGCCTTATCTGTCTAACAAGTCGTATATTTATATAAAGAAGGCTGATACTTAATTAAAAAATGTGCTCCTGGATTTTTTTCATGAGTAAAGATTGCTTTGTAAAAAATATCTCATAAAAGCTTAGGTACCAATTTGTTCTGTAGATAAGAAACCAAAAAAATTAATTTCTTGTAAATAATTTGATGGAAAGTATTTAACTTTCTTCTTTTCATTTGATGTTTTCTTTCTCCTTTACAATTTAGCGGTGGTTATAAGTTTAAGTAGGAGGATGATGATGAGCCTATAATAAGCCGAAGCCCTACTTTAAAGGTATTCAACGAGCAGAAAACAACGATCTGATCATTTACCACTTGAAAACCCCACCCAAAGCAAGGAGGAAGAAAGCACTATTTTGCAAAACTCTTCGGAAAATTTGAAACATTTTTAAAGAAATTCAGTTTGAACAAAAATTTAGTTTGAACAGGGTTATGCTGTCTTTCCTGTTACGGGGTATTTCTTATTAATTAGGTGTTAGATATACCTTAGCTCAGGCCAATTCTTGGAACAGATTTGCCCAGGCATTCTCATACAAACAGTGGCGTACATTTTGTAGTACTTGAACGTCCGCTGGGTACTCGACGAAACATGCATTAAGAGGTAAATAAATATATTCCACAAGTATATTAAAAAATATTTTTCGATTCTTGTATCCGGACTCCCTGTCGCACTTTTTAATAATCCTTAAGAATAACACTTCTTATTCTTATTATTTATTATTGATCTATTACATACCGTTTACAATAATTAGTTAATTAATTGTCTTTCGTAAGGAACCGAACTTTCAAGTTAGGTTATTATCTGAATCGACTGGAATTGACTGACCCTTTTGTTGCGCCCCTGGTATCAAACATCAGTAGATCGCGATATACTGCCGTAATTCGATACTATATGAACATTCATATATGGGGCATCCTTGGTTTGATAACGTGCTCTGATAATATCAAATAAAATTGAAATCGCGATCTACGTCTGGTGGTATAGATAAATTATCGACCAATAACTTCATCCATTCTTATTTAACGATTTCATATACCTTATAGGATGATATGTATCTACTCAACTTTTGAGAAAAGGTTCTCTTAAAATAGCACGTGTGTGAAGTGGCAAAATTTGGACGGGCTCAACTAATTCGGCAATAATCCATTTTTGAACAGGGTTGCTAATTAAGCATTTATCTCTTCTTTATTTTGATTGAAGCCTGAAATGTTTACATGCTTGATTGTTGGGTTTCGGTGTTGATTCAAAGTTAGTGCAATCAATTCTGAAAACAACCATTTTCCCAGCTGCGCTTATTCAGTTAAATGAATCCGATCTTTAAATAAACTTTTCACAATTAATTAAGTTGAAATCGATGGACTGGAAGGTAATTACAGTAACGATCCTTGAAAAATGACTAGTCATCGTAATATCTCTCGTTTTATATATGTATAAAAGGTATATTACTAGGTAAAAACAATCAGCCTTGTCCTAGAAGAACTGCTTATTTCATCAGTTTTGGAAATATTGCCAGAATCCACATTCACCGATATGGAAAAATCACTTTTGAAGATTTAGTTCCAAATATACTGCTTGCCTTCTGACTTTAATTCCTTCAAAACTTCAAGGTAAGGTAGTTTGACATGACACCTCCTTAGGCATGGAGGGCTGGTCAAAGACATATTAGAAGCAGAAACAGGAGTTAGGAGGAGTAGAGGAAGAGCTAGATTAGATTACTACTCGCAAATAGTTAAGGATATGAGATGCTATAGTTTTAGGGAAATGCGAAGATTAGCTCAGGATAGGAAGGAGTGGAAGTGAGTGTCCAACCAGTCTTAGGACTGAGAATCATATGATGATGATGATGATGATGATTTCAACTGCATCAAGACATTTCCATGTATAAAATGCAACACTATATGAAGGCGCAGTCAGCAAAAATTAGGGGATGGGTAGGCGTCATGGGTTCGCGGGACTTTAGTTCTTTAGTAGACGTGGATGGTGGCTGTAAGGCTTGCGAGCGTTAATGCCAACGATTATTTTTAAATTATGATTAGTCATTCATCTATGTAGACCAAAATCTTTTGGGATAAACAGTAAACAATGATGAAAGTCGCATTAAAGTCACGATAAAATTATTTGAAAGTAACCAAAAGTCTCAGATATAAAACTTGTTTTTATATCAGAGTCAATAAAGGCAATTCGTTGGTTATCTTCGTTAGACAAACAAGATTATTATCAGGGAAAACAACATATCATTGAAGCTCCAGTCCTTATATCCCAATTAAGAAAAACCCATTATCGAAATTTATCCGTGACGCAAACATCCTCCTAAAATCATGTCCTAACGTAATACCAAAAGGTATTAAGCTTAAGATTATTGTAACTAATCCCATATTACCCCGCTTATAATACTTGTTTAAGATACATAAACTCGGTAAATCGATGAAACCCACCGTTTCTTGTATTAAAAGTCGCCTTTGTATTTGCGCACTTACTCTCCAAGTTTTTTACCATGAATTGCACTAATTACTTATTATATTTTAATCACATTAATAAATTGGAACATTTAACTGTCATGAACTTTTTAGTTTTCTTTGTTGTTTATTTTGAAATTACGCATATTTTATTAATAACATAAATAAAGATAAAATGAATTGTATCTAAATCTAATATTTCTTTTTACAAAAAAAGGAAATGGAGTTATGTAAAATTTAAATAAGTAAAACTGGAATAAAAAAGTTTCTTAAGCTCAATAGCATACCGACGCTACCAGCTATAGCTTCGGTTTCATCAAGATTGTCTATGACATGCAGACGATATCTAATAAACTCGAAATCGCCATACACATTTGGTAGTTTGAATAAATTACTGATCAATAATTTAATCGGTTCTTATTATTTTGGTTCACGTGCCTATAATGTATATAAGCTGCGCCGTCCATTCAGTGTGACATGCAAATAACTTATCATAATAAGGTTCTTAAATTTGAAATACTTTAGTTAGGTGTATATGCAGTAGATGGCGACATATGTACTGCCATAACTCGATATTATATTAGAATGCTTATAAGGAGCTTCGGTTTGATCGGTGATTTATTGAGACTGTCTATGACGTGCTGATGAGATATAATTAGATATAAATCACAATTCACGACTGGCAATTTTGAATATGTCCTCTATGAATTATATTCCCTATCCATTTTCAGTGAGCTATACGTATATAATTCTCGCTGCGGTTTTTCTATCTCTTAAATAAACAGCAACGTGCACACTTGGATTCTCGCTAAAAAGCAAATGATATGCGAAAGTTGCGGCGAGTCCTACTCTTCTCCTTTTAATTATAGCGATGAAACTAGAAGCTTAAAAGAATGCATTTGTATAAGTGGCTTTTACGAAGCGACCGACAAAAAGCCGGGCTGTGAGCGAACAATAAAAGATTAATAAGATTTCAAACTTACGCCAACCCAGAATTTACGAAATACTAGCGTTATATCTTCCAAAAAAACCAACCGAAAAATGTATAGAGAATGAAAAACAACACTTTTTTAAGAATCAACGTGGTTTATTAATGCAAAGAACATACCAAGATTGTGTGTACGTTACGTAAACTTTTACTATTGTTTAATGTTGGACTGTTCAAAAAAGTTCCTTTAACCATTTGAATTTAATTTATTTAAACACAAAAAAAAATACATAAAAAAATGAATTAAAAAGTTCGACGGTTACTGTGTTACTTATTTGATTCTGCTAAAGTTGTTTTTGGGATTGTGGGCAGTACAGAAAAGTAGAGTCATAACTATCTACAAGTGACCAAACAACACAATCTAAGTATAATTTTATAAGCAAAAATTTCTAGACTAATCTATTATCCTTTACCATTGTATCTATAACAACTATGATTTTATTTGTGCAGCATTTTCAATGAAACATTAACTACCTGCTTACGAGAAATAATTTGCATATTTTTATCTAAAAAATGTATAACATTCTATTTTACTAATATTATATTTCTAACATGCAGGGCAAAAGGTTACATAAAAATGTAGGAAAACAATCGAGAATAGAGATGGAGACAAAAAATTAAAAGTAGCTGATTTTAGGTATTTAGGAAGTCTGATAACACAGGACGGAAGGAGTAGTAGGGATATAAAGCAGAGGATAACGCAGTGTCGAGTCGTCTTCAATAAAAAGCCACTTCTGTGCTCGCGTACGGTTAATTTAGAAATTCGAAAAAGGTTGTTGAAGGTGTATGTTTGGAGCACGGCGCTGTAGGGGTGCGAAACATGGACGGTGGGCGCTACAGAAAAGAAAATGTTAGAAGCGTTCGAAATGTGGTGTTACAGGAAAATAATCGGAATACCGTTCATAGAGAAGATTAGAAATGAAGATGTATTAGAAAGAATAGGAGAACGGAGGACTATGGAAATCAATAAAAAATAAGCAGGGTAGATTAGTAGGACACCTTCGTAGTCATAAAGAACAAATAAAAGACATATTAGAAGCAGAGACAGGAGTTAAGAGGAGTAGAGGTAGATTTAGATTCGTTTATTGTTTACAAATACTTGAGGTTGTGGGATGTTCCAGTTTTAGGGAAATGCGAAGCTTAGTTTAGGATAGGAAAGAGTGAAGGTATGTGTCTAACCAGTCTTAGTACTGACGACCTTATGATGATGACCAATAAATATTTGATGTCTAATTATCTAATAAATATTTCAACCATAATTTTTGTTGCAGGTGAATCTACAGGGGATTCAAGAAACATAAAAAAACGAAGCGAAGGTAAAAAAACCATTTTTTTCTGTTTTAGTCTCAGATTATGCAAAGCTATTTTATTTTTGTGAAATAAGTAAGGTATTTTTTTTTGGCAGACAGAAATAAATTAGAACTCTATCCAAAAATTAAAATAATGTTAATTAATGCTATAAATTACACAAAAGTGCAATTATATATAAAAAACAAACGGTCAACAGTTTTGTTAATTTAGTACCTATGTTGAGACATTATTTATAGAGTTAGTTTAAGGGGAATTTTAAATTTGCTACGGTACTACAAAAAACAAAATGCCAATGGATACATTTAAGATTTTTACTTTCTGAATCCAGAACCTTCTAATTAATGAAGTGTTTGATGAGGGTCTTTGCTTTTATTTACAAAGTTGGTTGGTTGGTTGGATAATCCCGCTTGCTACCCTTGTTTATTTTTAATTAATCCTCTATTGATTTATTAAGCACAGATTTATTATTTAGAACAAGACGTCAATTCTTTTTACAGGTAATGCAATATGCACATTTGTACCTATACACCGTGTGCTTTCTCGAAATTAAACAGTATGGGTCAATAAATACTAAATTGTTTATTATAATTGATACAGTCTTTCTATAGAGAACTTTTTGATGTCTTTCGGTTTTTTGCACCTATAGGTAAGGCAAAATAACCACCAAATATAAAGAGAACATGCGTAACGTGGAACAGTTTTTTTTATACACTTCTATCTGAAAACTTCACTTACTTATCCTTAATCCTATTTTGCCACTCCTTTATAATTGCATGTGATAGGTTCTCAACTTACCACTAGTGTATAGACACATTATCTATCTTTTTCATTTAATACCCCTTTTCATGCAAAATTTTCATGAAAATGCTATACCAAATTCTATAACGCACGGTTTAGTCACAAACCTATAGTATCGTTAATGTTTCTGTAGTTGAAAATATGAAAAATATTTAAAGCATAATATGAGAAGTACGCTATGCTGCATAAAATAAAAATTATTATATCCGATATTAAGTAGTGTCCGCTGTGAGAGGATTCACTACTTATCATCATAAGGTCGTCAGTCTTAAGACTGGTTGGACACGCACCTCCACTCTTTCCTATCCTGAACTAATCTTCACAGGTGTCTTACTGACCTATCTCGCCTATTCCTTATTGACTTCCGTAGGTCCTCTGTTCTCCTATTCTTTCTAACACCTTTTCGTTTCCAACCTTCTCTATCCACGGTATCATCATTATTCGCCTGTAATACCACATTTCGAACGCTTCTAATCTTTTCTTTTTCACCACGTTTCGTACCCGTACAGAGCCGTATTTAACAATCTTTTTCGAATTTCTGTATAAATCGCTCTCGAGCATAGAAGTGACTTCTTTCTATTGAAAGCGACTTGACCCCTGCTATCTTGCTGCTTTATTTACTACTATAATTCTGAAAATTGCAACTAATATTCCATTTACAAAATAATGGTATCTCATTTTACGCTTTATTGCTTTGCGGATTTTTCTCGGTGAGTTACGATTGATGGAATTATTCTTGTTGAGACTTTCATATTTAACGTAAATAAATATAGCGTCAAGAGACACCCTGCGAAATATCTTTGGAATTTAGTTACCGCGTCTATAAAAATGCGCGTATAAATCGGAGCGGCACGTATAAAAATTCCGTGATTTTACTGAGCCCATTTTACTGACGGATGTTTTCTATTTCCTGTTTTATGATATTACGTTGACTGGCGGGGAAGATCCGTGTTGGCATATAAAGCGTCCTGTTTACGACGAAGCACGTCGCATCATTTTCAATCTATTCAGTAATTCCTAGTTAGTCGTAATGGACGTCCAGCCCTTTACTGGTAGTATCCTCATAAGAACAAAACTCACTGCCAGTGGCGCCCAATCTGACATTGCCCTTAACATGTTTCCTGAAATTAATTCACCAAATTATTTTCACAAAACGTTCTTAACTACATTATTATTAAATAAAATTTAGGAAACTAATTACCATTAATAATTTTTATGTAATGTTTTATGGAGTACGTAGAGAATTAATTATTAGGACGGGAGTTAGCCAAGGGATGATATAACAGTATTAACATCTTGCAGGAAGGAGTTAGAAATAGCTTTAAATAAAATGGAATCAGGCGAATAATGAGGATACCGCTGATAGAGAAGGTTTTAGAAATGAAGAGATATTAGAAAGAATAGGAGAACGGAGGTCTCTATGGAAATCAAAAAGTAATAGGCAAGATAGTTTGGTAGGACACCTTTTTAGGCATGGAGGGCTGGTCAAAGATGTATTAAAAGCAAAAACAGGAGTTAAGAGGAGTAGAGTTAGACCTAAATTAGATTACTGTTCGTAAGTGGTTGCGGATGTGGGATGTTCTAGTTTTAGGGAAATGCGAATATTAGCTCACAACAGGACAGGGTGTAGGTGTGTGTCCAACCAATTTTAGGAGTGACGACCTTATGATGTTGGTGAGTTACTATTTAAAGCCTTATCGGACCATCTTTTGTTTTATTTTATTTATTTTACCACCGCCACTGTTTATTTCTGTAACTGTTAGGAAACTCCGATCTGGTTGATCCGTCAACCTAAATTAGAATGTATACATGTTTTTGTCGCTCCTTTTATTCCTTCTCCATTGCCATTTCGTCCATTGCGATTCATGTTTTCGCTCCGATATCGTCAAATGATCTAATATTTAAATCAACAAATTGAGGGCGAACGAGCTGGGATCTACTTGACCTTATCGATTTCACATTTTGCCTCATAAATTTGATGCCATGAAAGTAAAATTTAATGTTACTACGAAAAAGAAACGAAGTCGTTGTCATTTGCAGGGTGTAAAAAAATCGATACGACACCAGTAATGTATTATTGCAAATTCAGTGTGCTGAATAAAAATTATGAAATTGGTTTATGGTTATTTTGAAAAGTTCCAGGCCTCACATTTTTAGGTCTTTAATTCTTTAGCCATTTATCATCTTTCTATTGATTGCAAAATGAGAGAGATGGTCGAAGTTAGTAATTAATCATAAATTAGTTGTGTAAAAATGCAATCGCGATTGGTACGGTTTGGCAATTAAGCCACTTTTTTATGGCATTCGTCTTTAATTGTCTTCAAAACTTTAATAGATATAGCTTATCGATTTTTGCATTAAAAACAGTTGGTAATATTAAGAGTCATAACAACTGTACTTAACTGTGTCTGTTCGAAAAATCCATAAAATCATACCGTTAACCGTTATTTAGAAGAGTCCCAAAAAAATTGCAGGTTTGTTGGCTTAAAAAAGAAATTAGATACGGTTTATGTTGTGTAATAGAAAGAATTTCATTTCACTTGTATTTTTAGAGAAAAATACCAGCATTAAGTACTAAAAAGTAGCAGTAAAGATACCTATGCATAAAAAGTATGTCACCGTGAAAACAATTGATATTATCAAAGCTCAACTATGCATGTGTATTCTTCTGCGCAGAAGCCCATGCGAGCCTACAAAGAAGTGTGAAAAACCCATGAAGTAAAATATGCGGATTACATAAAATTTATCATTATCGTCTTACAAATTGATAAAAAAGAAGTCTTGTTCTTTTATAACATGCACCCTTATGAAGCATTTGCCCCTGTCGTCTCGACATAGGATATTAGAATAAGCAACTGATTGTAATGTAAAGGGGAACAGTATAACAAACCAGCAAAGTCTCCGGGATGAAATATTTGAATGAACCTACAGAAAGATAATTTTAAAATTACGTAGTATTGTTTGAGTTCAGAAATGAAACTAGTAACAACAAGTTGATTACAGAAAACAAAAATTACAAGCGTCGAGATGCATTTGAAAAAGAGTCAAATATCCTATCAAAACAACCATTTCGACGCCTTTGTCTTACGCCATTTATACCGTGGTGTAAACAGAGCGTCTAACTAATTAGGACAAAAAGTCAGGTTCAGTCAGTTACCTCGTTTCAGCCATGTAATTTTCTCATTCTATATTCAAATGTGATTCTAGATAAAGCGGTCCACAGTTATCGTTAGTAAGTTCGTAAAGTTCCACGACTACATTACCTCTTTCGACCAGAATTTCGCGCTGATTTAATTAAAAATTTACACATGGGAACGTCACCTTTGTCTTGTATCTACATCCACATCACTAGCAGATACATATCACCTTTACACTCATTTTAAACCAAAATGAATTGAACGTCCATTGTATTAAATAAGCCCTTTGAATACCCCGAGGTGTTTATATATACACACACACATACACTACTTAAATGAATAACATTTCAGTAGAATACGTTATATGAATGTATATTTTAGGAGGATAATACAGTTAATATAAAACATAACTGGTGCACGTGATATTACGTTACTAAAGTGAATTCTCTTCACTCATCATAGATCATGCTATTTAACAAGTGTAGTAGAGTACGTCTTCATAGTTTCCCAGCCATATATATAGATGAAAGTAACTGGATCTTACTCATAAGTTGTTTTATACATTGTGGGTTATGTAAAATATGTTTTAAAACTTGAAAGAATAACATCATCACGAACCGCATCTGTAACTATTTCTGAACAGTAGTCTAATCTATGTAGGTCTTCCCTTATCCCGCATTAATCTTCCTTCTGCTGTTATAAATAAATTGATGTATATTGAGGTTATCTGGGATACCGTGGATAAAGAAGATTAGAAATGAAGAGGTATTAGAAAGTATAGAAGAATAGAGGACTCTATAGAAGTCAATAAAGAATAGGCGAGATAGGTTGGTAGGACACCTTCTCAGGCATGAAGGTCTACTCAGAGACATATTAGAGAGTAGAGATAGACCTAGATTAGATTACTGTTTAGAAATAGTTAAGGATGTGGGATGGTCTAGTCTTAGGGGAATGCGAAAATTAGCTCAGGATAGGAAGGGCGCAGCGGAAAAGAAAAAATTAGAAGCGTTCGAAATGTGGTATTACAGGCGAATGATGAGGATACCGTGGATAGAGAAGGTTAGAAATGA